AGTATACATGCCTACAAATGCATTTCGTCCTTTGTAAATACACATTTACATAAAATATTCTTTATATTTGTGTTTCATTAAACACAGAAGTTCAGCAGCAGTGTCTCTGGCCCTCTGTTTCTGCCTGTCATTCCTTTCTGCCTGTAAAATCTTCTGGCTTTGAAGTAAATAACCGTTTTTGCTACAGATGTCTTAGTGCTATAGAGAGCTGTTAAAGTAATTGTACCTACTTCCAAAATGTATGAAAAATGAGAAATCCTGAGAAAAGGTTTTGACATCTTCTGAAAAGATAATAACAGTGCAGGCTAACAGGGAGAAAGCTGTACGCTTTACTTTCAGTTTGATCACTTATTTTATACCTGTGCATTACTGTTTCTTTAATGTTCACATATAAAATTCAGTTAAATGTTGTTCCTAAAAGCTGCAGGCAAACTCCTCTGAAAATACCAAGATAATGAACTTGAACCTGAGCTTTCTCCATCAAAGAAATCATTACAGACAATGTGTTTTAGCTTTTGGCTTTATTCAGTTTAAATTCACATTTTCTCTTCCATGGGAAGAAGAAAGTGCATCTTTAAGAGGAGGTGTTTGTTAAATCAATATATACCTGTTGGTATTGCTAGGAATTGCCTTTCTGCTTTCAAATTGCTATACAAAATACCTGAGTAGGCATAATGTCAAGAATGGAAATAATCAAAGTGTATTTAAGACTCGCTTTAAAAAATCCATTTAAAAAGTAGGAATGTGTTTTTCAGGCATTTTAAGACCATAAATTGAAACACGAGTATTTAAATTATTTTTCAAAGAGATTCAAAACTGTAGTGTATTTGCATAGCTACTGAGTGAACTTTTTTGTCCTCAGCATTTAATTTTTCTAGCAGTTCTGTATTTTAGAAGACTCCAGTGCCCCATAAAAAGCAAATACTCAATTTTTCAGTTTCTAGGCACTGAATATTTTCCCTTCTGCTGGATTTGTTTTTATAACTGTAATTTATTTTAAAAAGAAAAAGGGAGAGAAAGTGAGAAACTGAAGAAATGAATGGAAGATTTTGGAAAAGGTCATTAAACAAGCTCTCTAAAATCTGATAGATACTGTCAAATGTTAAAATAAATATTCTGCCATGGTAGAGAGGAGATGAGTGGGGCCCTGAGCAGCAGGGCTGCACAGAGCCTGCACTTTGCTACCTGAGCTTCACTGAAACTCTGCCAGATGATTTCATTGGCCAGAGGATTCAGAAGGTAAATGTTTGTGGAAAGACTAACAAAAGTACTTCAATCCTTACCAGTCAACAGCTACAGGGGGCTCTCAAAGGCCACTCACGAGGGTTGAGGCTCCACGTTTGGGCTTGCCAGCACAAGACATTCCTATGGAATTTTATTTATCTGTTTATTTATTATTCCGCCAGAATCACAAAGTGTCCAGCAATCACTGATCTTGAGAGAAAAACATTGAAGCCATGATCTAAGTGGGATTCATCCTGAGTAACACATCAAGTTGCTCTGGAAAAACAAGCTTTTAAAACTGAAGTTTTATTTATTTAGACTTGGGTGGGCTTGGTGGTTGGTTGTTGTTTTGGGTTTATTTTGAGTTTAGAATAACTACAATGAACTCATCAAGAGGCTCTTGGGCAAGCTGCCAAGTATTAAAAAATTATGGAGCAATAGTGTGGTACAACTAAATCATCTTTTGCATCCTGGTGTGCCCAAGGCTACATCCACCCCCCGTGGGACACTGGGGGAGTCCTTCTGCTGCCGCCTCTCTGCCAGAGCCCAGCAGACAAAAATGACATTTATGTCCATTCTAGCAAAACCCAAGCACAAAAGGCAGGCAAACACCCTTGGCTTTCAAAATTAAGCTGGTTTCTACTCTCTCACATGGTCTATTAATGCTCCAGGCAATTAATGTCACCTCTATTTTGTTTGTATTGATCCTCAGCTTGCTCGTTCTCTCGTGCCTTGTTCTGTGCCAAGTCGAGGGCTGGCCTTTCTTCGTCTTGACTCGGTCAAAAAGGAGACAGAGTGTTTTCTGGAGCACAGTAATTTGGGTGATGGGGACTTATTTGTAGTGATAAACTATTATCCTGTAGAATGCCCCTCTTTTCCCCACCATCATTCCTTGGGGCCATGATCCTGTTGGAAGAAACTCATCCTAATTCATGTTAGGAAGAAATCTGATCATTATGAACATCAAATCACTAAGACAGGGGATTTGTCAGTCAGGGTGATAAAAGCAGTTTGTGTATCAAAGTCTTCTTGGTTTATGGAACATGGGGAAACTGGGAACAGTGACCCATTAAAACCTCCAGCCCTACAGGAAGGAGGCAGTCTGTATTTCATGATGGGAGATTGTCTTTTATGAAATGAGGGCAAATAGATCTCCACTGGTGTCCACAGGCTCCAAAGTTATTGCTTCTTCGTGCCTTCCACAACTGGAGAAGGCATGAACATGCGCTGCAACTTCTTCCAGAAAGATTTTTAAGATTTTGAGCTCTTATGTTCAGCAGAGTCCTTTCCTGAAGTCTCAAATTCTGGTAGTTTCATCCAGAAACCAATAAAAAAGCCACCATGATTCCTCCTGGAAAAGTCGGTTTTAACACAACAATAAAAAGATTTTGGGTTTGGGGCTTTTTTAGTGCAATCAAGTTTACAAGCCTCTGTGCACACAATTGACTGGGGGATTTATATGCACAAAATCAAAGACAATATTTTTATATTTCTGTATAGTCAGAGTCTATATGAAAGATCTTTGATGTAGATTTTAAGTTTCAGGATAGTTTCTACAATTAACTTTAATAGTGGCTCTATACTGTCCAACAAACATCAGCTATTTTTGTGCAGATTCACTTGCAAAAATAAACTTCAAAATTGAGCAATTTTCAGAAGTCCCCTAAATACAGCATAGTTATCTCATATTGTACACATAGTCACCACCTTCAGAAAAACCCAAATGGTAAAATGGGATAGTAATGTAGCAACAATTTTGCCTAGAGTTATGTGTTCTTGTTCAGTTTGTCACCTCTCTCAGTGGAAAGCAGTAATTTCTACTGTCCAAATTAATTAGTTTTGGTGTTCTTGTCTCCACTGTTTCAGCAGTGCTGCTTTTACATCTCTACTGTGTTTTAGAGTTCCAGTCCTGTAATCTGGAGCCTCAGGTGTGACATAAAAGCTCATGACTGTAATGCATTTGGGGTTTTTCCACTGCTGCCAAGAGTGATACAGCTCTGAAAGGATGGAGATTCAACAGCCAAGGCAGCAGTCCTGGAGATGAAGGCTTGTGTTGATAAGGCAATACAGCCTAATTGCATTTCCAGAAAAATTCAGAATATTATCTAGTAAGTGTTCGTAATAAAACTTTCACAATCTCTGATAAAATCTTATCTCTGTAGAGAGAGATGAAAACTGAAAGCATGTGGGGGGTTTTTGTGTGTGTTTTATGATTTCTTATGTTTGGTGGTTTATTTTTTGTTTTCTTTGCATAATCTGTGCTGCAGGCACAGTTAGGGCTCCATGCCTTGTGAGAGATTCTGCTTTCCACAAATTTGCAAGGACTGTAGATTTTAATTTTTTTTCTCCATCTTTCCCAATAGATTTCATCACAACCTTGTACCCCTAGAAATAAATATATTTTATAGGGAGCAATGTTTCTTTGCTGTTACTTTGGAGGCAGCCTGGTATTTGCAGAATGCCTTCCTGCTAGGTGTGGAAATGCACTGAGCGCACCTATGAGTGACCTCTGATGTTTGTTTATCCTGATTTATGAGATCCCATGCATACTACAGGGAAGAAAAATAAATATGCAAAGTGCCAGTAGACTTTTAATGGAGTTACCCTGTATTTCTCCACAGAAGCTGACCTTGAAGTTGCTTTTCATGCACAAGTCAAAATATGTAAATTAAGATCTCAAAGTGACAGTTCAAAACATGTATATAGTTTGTAAAGTTCTTGCCAAAGCCATGGAAATTTCATGTTCTACAAAGGCCATTCATCTGCCTCTCAAACTGTGCGTAGCAAAGTGTAGAAAATGGCATTGCTCAAGCACTCACAGGGAAATTTGGTCAAAACACAATTTCACTTCAGCAGGATGAGAAGTCTGCCAAAATTTGCTCGTGAAATCTGTGACCGTGCTGCCAGTGCAGTGTAGAGCTTCCAGCTCCCTAACAACAGCAGGAACTAAGCTGGTATCTAAAACAGACTGATCTATGCCTAATTTTCTGTAATGCCATTTGCTTTGTTACTGTTCAGAGTGTCAGAAAAGGCAAAATGAGAAGGACAACTCACTGTTCCAACATGAAATGCAAAACTTATGTGGCTTCCATCTCCTCTTTTCTAAATAGTACAAATAATATAAAATTCTTTTAAATGTTTCTGTTGGCTGCATTACATGTAAAATGCTCCCAGAAACACTTTCATCTCATATTTTACCTCTTGATTTCCCTGTACTCCCATTCTCCAAGCATTGCTTCTAATGGTTTTCAGTCCCAGCTCAAAACTGCTCCACAATACTAAGGATATTAAGTATTTTCCTCTTTACCCTCTGCCATTGTTTGCAACATAAAAAAATCAATAAAATTAATTTCAGTTACGTTTATGGTTAGTCCTTGTCTACAGCAACCACCACATTGGCATGGGAACATCTTCTGGAATCATTCTTGCAGAGAAACAAGCAGATCTGCTGGGCTGCTGAACAGATGAGAAGGAAATAGTTGGGTTCCCAGTGACAAATCTGTTGTGGGGATGAAGAGAAAATTCAGGTAAAACATTTGGTTATGTGGTAGTGCAGAGGATTGGTCAAACACTGTAATTAATGTCACTAGTGCTAAAAAGACATTAGGGATGTGGGATGTGTTGATTGTTTCTCCTTTCTGTTTATGCTGTTTCCTCTCCCTTGCAGCTGTAGGGCTGTGCCAGTGAAAGCCCCCAGAGCGAGCTTTAGCCGCTGCTCCTCTGTAAAAGCATCATTACCTCCCTCCAAACAAAGTCCCTTTTTTTTTTTTTTTTTTTTTTTTTTTTGTCAGTAGAGGATGAAAACATTATTGGATTCAGGAGCTCATAGTAGTCCTGTACGCAGCTAGGGGTGAAGAGGATAGATTTATGAAATGGACCATTTCAAATGGCATTATCTTCCCACAGTGAGGAACACCTTTCATAAATCATGGGAGTACTTGGAAAAGAAAGCATTTGTTATTCCTGCCATATATTGTTTTTGCATCCTCCACAATGTGTTCTTGGGATGGGGGAGAATCTTCTGGCTGCATTTTTTTCTTCCCTAATAATTAGTGCTTTTTATCCTACAACTACAGGAAAATTCAGAACAAGCTTGACAATATGAATTTTTAGTTTACCTTTGTTTAGCTGCAGAGACACACTGAGCCTCAGTTTTCTGGTTTGGGTGTGAAGTCAACTATTTCTTACACACTTCCAGTATTGCCAGGCATTTTCTGCTTCATTATGTAGCAGGAGGTCAACTGGGAAGAGGAGCTAAAGTATAGAAAAAAAACTTGTTATTTTTTAAGGCTGGAAGGTTAGTGCTATTTTATGAGTATTTTTGCTTCTTAAACTCAAAGACCCTATTTTTGCCCCATTAATAAAGCTGTCTCTGATGCCTTTTGAACTCACCAACACCTGTATATTGTACTGGGTGTGAAGAGAGTTTTTTCTGTGTTGTCAGTATTTTTTCTGTATTTTTCACAACCCAACATTGCAATAATTTTACCAGTGAGTCTGACACCACTTGGGATAAGTGCAGGTCTCCATTAAACCTGTAACTAGCCTGATGTGAAAAGTCAACATTTATTACACAGTATTATTTGTGTGGATACTTTGAAATCATCCCTTTGCTCCGGAGAGGAAACTTTTGAGAATGCTCCCAGATAGCAACTTGTCATTACCTGTAATGAGCCAAGGAGAAAGGCCTTGATTTTGGGAAACATCTTTTGACCAGAACTGATGGAAAGATAAAGGTGATGGTAGTGAAGAAAAATTGCCTGTGTCTAAGAATAGAACAAAGGGAAGCATGAACTGAATATCGAAGCGTGTGTTAAATTCAGAATATTAGCTAGAAATTAAACAAATATTAGAACAAATAATTTCTAGTTTGAACCCCCCCCGAACTCTGAAGTTGGGAAAGGTCAGACTTCATGCTTGTCCATGCTAGCTTAATTCTGCCTCCCTCTGGATATCTATAAAAATTAATTTTTTCTACTATATCCTTCCATGTCTTTATACCCCAGTGGAAGCACATCATACTGAAAACAAAGGACAGACTGCAGCAAGACAAGGGGTGACATTTCTTGAACTTGAAATGTTTGTCTTGGCTACTTGGCATATTTTTTTAGATAAATGAATGTGGGGAAGGAGCAAGTGGTTCAGTGGTTTTAATAGATATATTTTTTATATTTTTTTACAGAGTTATTTAATATGACAAGAGTTTCATTATTGTATTAATGTGTAATTCATAGAATACTGAATGAAATGTATTTATTTCCTTATAGCGATTACTTTATTTTTCTCCTGGATGTGCTTACAAAACCTCTATTAAGGCCAAAGCATAGATGAGAGAAGCCTACTGCTGCCAACATGAAACTCAGAGCTTCCTCTGCAGTGGAAACTGAGAGATGAAGTCAAGGTCAAACTCACTATTTATTCCTGAAATTTCTGCAGACACTGTTATTTAGGTGTAATGAGCCCTGCTTGGATCCGGTTTGGAGAGATACAAAAGCTTTGAACTTTTAAGTTTGGAGGCTCCAGTTACATCCGTGGGTATCTGAACGTTGGATCTGAAGGCTTGGCATTTTAGATGTTGACTTTCCAGAGGGTTTAGGAGAACCTGTTCCTGTGATAGTGAAAATGTGTTTTGCTGAGGGCTGAGAAACTCTTAGCAGGACTTACCTGGTCACGGGCACTGCGCTTGGGCAGCTCCTGTGTTCACTGAGCACGTGGCTGTGCAAGGAGGGGGAGAAAAAGAATTTTAGCAGCCATGCCAAAATGTTTATTAAAGCTGTAAGTGGCATTCAATTCAGCAATGTGCCACATTGCATTTTTTTATGAGTAAACAGGAGGGTGATGGCAGCGGAAAAAAACTTTGCCGTCACATGTGGGAACCTTGTACAGGAGTTTGTTGGATACAGATAGCAGCAGCTTCTTGTGGGAAATAATGGGATTTTTTCTTCTTCAGATTTCTTAAAAGGCTTGATATATAATAATATTGGTTATGTCATTACAGCAGAAGAATTGCTTTTCTAGCTGAGCTGGGGTATTGAACAGTACTGTGTATAATGGATAAAAATGGGTCTCCTGGATAAGGAGAGACAAGTATTGTCACCCCTGTTTTGAGGTATATTTGTCCTTTTTTTTTTTTTTTTCTGACAGCCATTATGAGGGCACTGTGTGTGAATTCTTTTTTTTTTTTTTTTTTTGCTGCTGTCAGGCTTTGAAGATCTTTATGCTTAATGTAGCTGAGGTCAGGAATTCCCCATGTACTGTTCCACCTCAACCCCTGCCCAGTGAATGGCAGGTAGCAGTTTTACCTCTGTAAGTATATGGGTATCACCACTTTGTTTTAATGCTTCAGTGTTTAAAGCTGTTAAATAAAGCCAGGATTCATCAAGAACTGTTTTAATAGAATTGTCAGGTAGCTGCAGTGCCCCTGATTTAAATGAGTAAGCAACACCTATGGGCAAATGATCTTTCTGCACACAGAAATTAATTACAATTCAGGACTGATGAACTTTTATGAGCTAGTTAATTTTTAAAAGATGCTGTGTATGGTTTATTGAAATTAAAAGAAAGTGACAGCTTTCTGCCCCTACCCTCATAAAATTCTGTCCTGCATATAATATTGACCTAATTTAGTTCAAAGGCGCTGGATCTCCTTTTAACACTTCATTGTGTAAAGGCCAGTTGAAGGTTTCAGTACTCTTCAAGCAAACAGAAAAGCTTCTTGCTGGTTATCCATGTTATGTTGGCTTTTATCAGTAGACAAGCTCTAAACTCCTCCTCCCTTTGTCCTTGATTACCCTCAAAATCATTTTTTAAACAAAGTGCAGCTCAAATTCAGCATCAGGTTACTAACACCCATTTATAGAGTGTTATGAATGAATATTGATTATAAAATTGTGCACCATATACCACAGGATTGCAGATATTTTTATGGTGTGGATCTTCTCCTGGTGAAAAGATTTCATGGGCCACTGCCCTCCCTAATTATGACTGTGGGACACAGCTCACTTCCCATTCAAGCCAGGACCACATTGTCTTTTATTTGTATTCACATAACATTCTTGTGGGAAAGTAAAGGAGCAGCTTATGGAAAAGGTAATATTATGAAGGAATTTTGGTTGGTACTGTCCCAAGATCCTGGCTAAAGGTTGTTGCTGTTCAAGTCAGTTATAAAAAGTTACTTTGAGCAATACCAAGCAGTGCTCCAAAATATCAGCGAGAATTTACTTATTTTCTTACTACTGTTAGGAGTCTTCCTTCCCTCCAGTGACCTTCACAAACCCACACACCATAAATTTTCAAACCTCTGTTTTACGGTCAAAATTTTGTAGAAACCTATTTTTTTTTTCGCCCTGAAGCAGCATTTTTTTGCTGTGATACTTGACTTGGTTGACCAATGTCAGAGTTATTTTGCAGAAATCCAGGCCATGTCTGTGAAACCTGACAGCCCAACCCAGTGTTGTGTGATTGCTGGTGCACTGTGCCAGTGCTACACTTCAGCCAGTGTGGATCTGCAAGGAGAACTCTTCTGGGGTTCAATGTTCCAATAACATTCAAACACCTTTTTGAATTAACCTGTCCAATAAACAAGACAAGAAATTAATCTTCTCCTAAATACTTAAAATGGCCAGAAAAGAAGTGCAAAAAGTCCAAAGAAATCCAAAACCCTTTTCATATCTAGCAAATGAGTTTGATAAATATTATATTTTCTGAAGCCACTTAAAAAGTTTTACTTCTTGCCTTTTCCTGAAGCAATAAAGATTGAAACATTAATATTTCAAAGTTTAATGAGAAAAAATGGGCACAGGAAGTCTCCTGCATTTATGTCTATCCTACAGCTAAATTTCTACATCTGTTGTAGGACAGGTGCAATTGAGGATTTTCAGTATAAGCTCAGGTGAGAGTGGAGAGGTGTTTCCTTTTATTTTGGAAGGTTCTATTAAGCAAACACTGAGCACATTCGCATGAGGAATGTTAATTTTCATGCCTCAATACAGAAATCTCAAGTTTCCTGGGTGAATTAGCTATTAATGGGTTTCTAAAATATACCATCAGTGGTGTGGGAGAATGTAGTGTGTGCTGAGGCCAGAACACAGGCTGTAATCAGATAACCTGTTATTATAATAAAGCCAGAGGATAATACTTCGCATTGCTCAGTGTAGTAATTGGCCTGCCCCATGTCCTACAGGCTTTGGCACTATAAAAAGTGGTGTTTCACCTACCAACTATTTATAACAGCTTTTGCTTCCTTTGTATTCTAAATTGAAAATGTAATTTCAAACTATAAGAGGGAAATATATAAAGTGTCCCCAAATAACATCTTAGGCTGCTTTCACCACCATTTCAGGGCTTTGCTCTCTGGTAAAGTTCAGGCTGATTTGCCTTGCAGTGGACATACAATAATGCTATTGACAAAACACTAGTAATTAAATAACTTTTTTTCTTATATTATAGTTTTGTGTCCAAGGACAGGCAGCAAGAAGTCAAAGAAATAAACAGTTTGCTACTATTCAGAACATGGCAGGGAAAATGTGTAGACCCTTGAAAACCCATGAGATCAGAGTGTTAGGTTGTTTCATTTTTACAAAACAATTATTCTCTAAATCAGTTATTGTCTTCCTATTTAGTGTCACTATGTATCCACTGCAATTTTTTTTTTTTTGGATAGACAATTTATTAGGAGTTTAAATGTGCAACCATGTGGACACTTACCTGTGTTTTTTGGTCCCTAGCTATGCTGCAACTGCTTGTTTAGCTGAACACAATGCTTGTGTGCACTTCTGACTGTACCTCAGCCTGGAACCTGCTGCTGTGGTGCTATTTTTGTTAACATCTGTGCTTTTACGACAGCTGTTTTTGTGTTTTCCTGTTTATTGTTTAGTTTGCCTACCAGTTTGCCAGTCAGTGCCTCCCACTAACTTTTGAACTCAGACTTGTCTCAACCAAATAGACCTGAAGTCTCCAGGTAGCTGCGTTCTTCCGAAATTGCAGAAAGCTGGCAGGTGGGGCAGCAGACACAGACTCAATTTAGTGCTGTTCCTGCAGGAAAGCAGGAAAAATTCAGCTTTGACATCTGCTGGGTGGCTGCTGGCTGCCAGCTGGCACGGGTGAGCTCCAGGACACGGCACACTCTGCCTCCCACCCGCACCACGGGACAGCGAGGGGTGGGAGAGCTTCTGCAGGGGCTCCAAGGCAGAGTCAGGGGCTGGAGAGGGTCTGAAGGCCCTGCAGATGGGGTTGAGGACATGGGGAGGGTAATGAGGTCCTTGGGGAGGGGTAGGTGACCACTTGTGCTGTGAGGAGTCAACGCGATGGACACAAAACACGCATTTGTCCTGGTTACAAGTGTGTTCCTACTTCAGCTTAGCCTAATTACTGCTTTTGACTCAGCTCAACGCATAATGTTGCATGTCATGCCATCCTACTTTTAATTTCACAGCTGAACACATTTCTATTGTTCTAATCCCCTTTTCCAAGCCTTGCTTTCCTCCATTTGGAGGACATGCAAGGTGTTTGACCTGTGCTACTGACAGTAGCTCTGGAGGATCCTTTGGGGAATATCACTGGAAACATAGACAAAATGCTTCTCCCTCAGGTGCTGACTATCCATTTTTTATAAAAAGTGGAGCTGGTGTTCCTGGGCTTTTCCTAGGCATCAGATACTCACCAAGATGATGAGATGGGTCTGTTGGATCTGGTGAAGGCAGTATCAGCAGTTGCAGCTAAGAATGGAACAGATGAAAGTCAGATAAGTAAATATGTAAGCAAGAGAAACAGTTTAAATAGCTTAGTGATGGCCCAGATGGATTTTTCCTAACTAATTTGTCAAATTCAAGATAAACCCCCCTTTATTTTGCTTGAAAATTTGGGATTTTTGCAAATTTTACGTGATGCTCAGTTGGCTTTTCTAGTCATAAGGAGAATCTACTTAAATACAAATCCTGCAAAGTTATGTAATTTTTTTGTCAGCCTGTTTACTTGGCTTGTGATTGTTAATGGTCTGCTCTGGAGATGTGCTTCAAAATGTACAAATATCTCAGGTATATGATGACCTTACAAAATATTTTGATTCAATCTAGTGCAGTGTTTCTCTTCATCACAAAGTAAGGTGAACTTAATCTCCCCAAAAAGGATATCAGTATTTTCTAAATCATATTTTCTAAATCATATTTTTCACTTGATTATGCTGCTGACAATACTCCATCTCTCTTTGTCAGTGGTTATTTGGGAGATGGATTTTTATGTTTAAAGAGTGGTTTATTTTAGAGTATGGGTAGGTATAACAAAGTTTCTATACATGCTCTACAGCTGGATGTTGAAATTGTAATTGGACATCATAACACCTCTGAGCTGGACATGCACTCATTAATTAAACACCCTCTTAAATGTGTCCCAGAGACCTGTGCTGTGGCTGCTGGACTGCTGGAGGGAGTGGATGTGGAATTGGTAGATGGGAGTGATGTGCCATATTTTATCTCACTGCATTTAATTATTTATATTACTTGGTGAAGTAAGTCCAAAAGACCATTCTGTTACTTCATTGATTTTTTTCATGTGTACTCATTGGCCAAGAAAGAATGGTAAATTTAGGACTTTAACACAAAAGTTGTGTTGTGCCTTAAAAGAAACATGAAAATATATACAGCATATTCATATTTAACTTTTATGCCTGCTGTCTTAAAGCACAGAAAATCCCATGTTTTAAACTTCTATTATGTTTTTACTCATTGAAGTGGTTGGTTTTAATAGTGTCCAAAGTATTTCAATAAAAACCATGGGAAATTCACTGAAGAGTTTTGTTTCTCATGTCATCCAAAATTATCCCACTCTAAAATTCTCAATTATACATCAGTAACTCTTGAAGAAGAGAAAATCAAGCAACTTTGCTTATGGCTTGTATTCCAGCTAAGTTTATGAGGAATGTTATTCTCAATGATTCTAACAGAAAACCCTTGCCAATAACTTTATCACAGTGATAAGAATAAAAAATTTATGGTATTTACTTCATTGAGTGCCAGAAAATACATATGTGCAAATATCATCTGCTTAATCTATATGCCAGACAGGTCTGTTTTAAAGTATACCCCTAGATTTACTGAATGGAGCTGCTGCCAGTTTTTAAATTTACTCTCTAGTATTTTGGGAAACATGGCATCAAATGTTTTTTTTTGGTTTTTAAGTTCTGTGGCAGAATGTCTTTATATACAATAATTTTTATGTAGTAGGGTAAGATTTATGATGTCCTTAACAATTCATGCCCTAAGAGTTTGTGATTTATAAATTATGTGCCAGGGTGTCAAAGAATACCTGTTCTGCTTTGCTTGGGTTTCTGTTGTTTGTGGTTTGGGTGTTTTTTTTTTTTTGGGGGGGGGGGGGCGGTGTGTGATGTTTGGTTGGGTTTGTTTTGTTGTTGTCAAGGGGTTTTTGTGTGAATCTGTGGGTTTTTTATAGTGGTGCATTTTTTGGTGGATATAATAAACATGGAAAACAATACATTATTATCTACTAAATATAATTTTTTGCATATAATTATCTTGAAGTAGTATTCAAAACACTACAAATATTTTGTCTGTTTACACCTGGTGACCCTTGGCATTTTTTTCATTGACCCCTTTCCATTGAGGGTGGGGACAAAGACAGCTATTCATAATTGTTTGTAATTTCTTGAATTGTTTCTCCCCCAGCTCTCTTGAATCCTCTCATGGATGTACCTGTAAACCTACGAATTTATAAAGGCTTTTTTCTGAGAAGTATTTTAAAGGTCTACATTCTCTTGGCTTGTGCTTCCTTGAAGCTTTTGTTTTAGGGTTTAATTTGAATTAAATTGTATTTTTAGTACATCCTGCAGAAATTGTGAGGTTTCTGCTGATGTCCTGACCAATAGCTTGACCTCATGCCACTTCCTGATGGACACTTGTCCACAGTTAGTGCCATCTTTAAAGATGGGGATTATGGAGAGAGTGAAAATTCAGGTTTATGAGTTTCTGTACGAAGGGGAGCAGTCTCCAAAACAGAGAGACTTTGCTCCTTTGCAGCAGGATTCATCTAGAACTGGACTTGAGTGGTTTTCCTTGGAGCAAACAGAGTCACTGAGGGGTTTCAGTGTGTTCACCCATCACCTGTGCACTTCATGAAGTACCAAGATTCCTCGAGGTCACGGTGAAAAGCAGCTTCAAACGCGGCCAACACCTGCAGCACCAGCCTGGCGTGCCTGGAGCTGCTGTTCCACCGAGCCCAGGGATGTGCCTGTGAGAGCAGGGATGTCACAGCTCCCAGGGGCTGCAGAGATCCTGGCTCTGAGCAGCATGGGGCCCGAGCCCTGCATACCTTTAATCTTCTATCTTCTTCCTGGGAAGCCTCTGGAATTCATAACACAGTCACGTTGCTCAGGAATGTTTCCTTAGACAGATTCTATCTCTGAGGGCTTAAGTCAAGGGATTTTCAAACACTCACTTGATTTATGTATGTGAACATGTAGCTCATAAGAGGAGTTTATTTTACAACTTCTTTAGTACTATGCACCAGAAAACCTCCAGTAAGTTTAACTTCTTTAATATTTTCTTCTTCTATTCTGTACTCTTCAGTCATGAATAAGTTGATTTCTCATCTTTTTATGAATTTCATAAAATTCCATATTTTATGGAATTTTGAGTGAGGAAGTGAGGAAGGTGACTGATTCTTCCATCTTTGATTTCATTCTTTGATTCTGGTGGTTTATTGTCACATTGCCAGCAGATGCAATTTCAGTTCTCAATCCTGTCTTAGCTTCATTTGCTGCATATTTGTATGTTTATTGCTGCGTGAGCCTTTTTTATGCAAATAATTCAAATTGTGTCCATGTAAAAACACAAATTCTAAAACATTATTATTTTCATAGTTTGAAGATGTACCTTCCTAAAAGTCGAATGTCATCTGAATTTATTTTTCATTTAGATGAGTGAAATATTGTGTTGTCAATTTTTAAGTCTGGGACAGAGCAACTGAGTGTTCAACCACAGTTGCTTTTTGAGGTTTCAATTCCCATTGAAATGGTCCTTTTAATGTCATCTTTAATTTAATCAGATAATGTCATCAAAATAACATTTGCCCTATTACTGCAAATTCACTGCATTATTAGCTGGTGTAACAGACAAAAAAGATGGTATGAACCCCCATGGAAATCTGTGCTTCCAGGAGAAATGGATACAGTTCATAGAAGCTCTATATTTAATTTGCAGTTTCAAAGCACTCTCTATGGAAATATTTTATGAGTCTGAAATAATTTAAAAACACTTTTCAATAGAACCTATAGCACCCACCAACTTAGACTGATTTTTTTTTTCAAATCACCATTCTTTTGCCCAGTTTTAAAGTAACATTTAATGCAGTCACAGAAATATTAATATTCTCGTAGCTCTAACACCATTTGAAAGTGTGGATCCGGGATGAATATTTGTATCCATGAATTGAAAGTCAATTGACTTAAGTATCTAGCACAGGTACATTAAGATTTGATGTAATTTCATCTTTCATTTTAGAATCTTACACAAAGTTTGATGGACTGCAACATGTTTAAGATTTAGAAATATTTGAGGGTCCCCTTCTGTGACCTCTGCTGACAGCCTGAACTTCCATCATTGCCAGCATTCTTTCCTCTAAATAATTCAATTCAAAACCCTAGGATTTTTTTCCTGTTTAAAATAATATGAATTATTCTTTGTAAAATATTCCATTACTGAAGGAGAAATGTTTTGTGTGGTGTGCTTTCTGTCATTCCTGACCAGAAATAATGTCTGATGCTCAAAGAATTCCTGAAATGAGATGCAACTCTGCTGAATTTATTGGTAATTAGTAAAACTCAGGTATGCAGAAGGGAACAGCAAGCAGGAGTAATCACTGTTGCTTAGGAAGGAATGGAAAATTGTTTTGCATTTAGGAGGAACAAACAGAACAAACTTTTTTAAAGTAAATTTTCAGTTGGTGATGTTGAAAAGGCATCTTCAAGTTATTATGTGTTTAAGCAATGTGTCTGTTTAGTTTGCACAAGAATAGTACTAAAAATGTAAAAATGCAACAAAAAAAAAGCACATCTGGTTATTTTAATCCTGTCTGGAAGAGATTTTCAGAATCTGCTAAAACCACAGCAAAGATTTCTGTCCCGCTGCTTAGTGTCTGGTAGTTTTAAGAAAGCATCTGAGTGACTTTGTATTAGAACTTCACAAGATTTCTCATTATTTTTCCTTTATTTTTTGTGTTTCTATTTGTCTACAAAGATCAGATCTTTGTTTATTAATTCAAGATTTCTTTTCATCCTTTGAAATACTGAATCCTGATAAGAAAGCCACTATCTTTTGTAACCTATAGGCCCTTAGCAAGGAATTCAATGTCCCAGGTTTGTCTTCAGGGTTGTGATCTTGATGGCTCTATGGATGCCTTTAATCTTCTCATCTTGAGCTCAGAGGAAGCATGGGTTTAGATTTGGGTTTGCATGGCCCTGAAAAATAAGACTTTATATGGGGGAAGGAAGAGTTTCTGTGATGAGAACAACTTTACTCCCAGTCATACAAATATAGGTACTGGCAGTTCAACAGTCTCAGCTTCCACCTTTGAACACACAGAGAAGGATTCTGTAAAAGTCACCACAGAAAACACAACAAAGCATTTCTCAGCTCAAAACCAACACTTGGAATTACAGCAGGAAACAAATTAGCAATGCCTCTGAGGTCCAGCTCCTCGGGTGTGC